GTTTGGGCTGAGAATTTGCATAACTATAGTTTCCTATTTTTCATAATTTCCGTGTAAATTTCGTTGTATGTTTTAATTATGGATCCTACGCAATCATCGTCTTGTCCCTGAGTTCGGACTTTTGATGTCGCTATTCCCGTTATTGGATTTCTCATTAACGCATGATCCTTTTATTATGGAAATTTGGAGGATTAAGAGTAGATCCTTTCCTTTCTAATGGGCTATCAAGCTTGTCTCGGTCGTTACTAGTTAATCTTCGCGCTTGCTTTTTAGACATTGTCCTCGTTTTGCAGGAGTTTTTAGTCATATCTCCGTCGTTTATGGGTAGTTTCCCCTATAATTACTCTCATTGGTTCCGTTTGGGTGACATCTACATTTCCTATTATAAACACGACTTTGACTTTTGCATTAGTTCCTGAGGAATCTTTGTTCCGTGGTACTTCCATCCTTGCTATGTGTGCGGACGTGGGAAAGTAGTTTCCGTGGAGGTTCTCTGATTATTTTTATAGTCAAATCTTGGTCGATTGTCCTAATTCTTGGTTTAATATTTGCTATAAATTCCCCCGAGAATTCCGTCTCGTTGATGGTAAGCTTGAAGTATTTTTGTTATTTTTCTTTCTTTCGATTTATCGTGTATAGTCGTAATAATTCGTAAAAATTCGTAAAATTCGTTAAAATTCAGGTCCTTCTATGTTCTCATATCTACTTGTCGTATGAGGTTTTGTGATTTATCTGCATATTTTCATAATGGGTTTCCATAGTGTGGCCGTTATTTCTCCTACAGCGCTCCTGGCAGAAGTCGCTGAGGCCGAAGCCCTCCGTTACGGAGACATTCTTTCGTCTCAAGTCTGGTCTCTGACATCCACATTACACATGTTTCTAGATCCATTGAAACAATTGGATCTGTGGAGGCTTAACAGCCTCTACTTTATTTCTATTCTCTAAAACCATTGAAAGAATGGTTGCATCAAGGCTTAACAGCATCACGAAAACTAACACAAGCTCCCATTAGCTCTTGAGTGCTCCTGAGCAATTAGAGCTATTAGAGCCAGGAGAAAGGTACCCCCCTCTGGAGTGCTCCCGAGTGACACTTTGCTCCGAAGTGCTCTGGAGCACTCTGGAGCACTCTGGAGTGATGCTGAACTACCGGTTTTCTACATTTGCACAACAATTCCAATCATGTTTATATTACAGGAAAATGGTATAAATCATTATGATCAAAATATATGTACATGAAATGTAGCTAATAATCATTATCTCTGAGTACCTATCCAAATGGGTCTTCCATGCACTGCATGTCTACAGACCAACGGACTTGCTATTAGAAGAGGTTGAGGTAGAGTAGAACAGGAACTCACAGGATGGTGGTAAATAGTCTGACACTCCGGACACTGGCATCATCATTGACTCCGTGACAATATGGCACTGTCAGTGAGTGGGTAGGGTTGGCTTACAGGAATTCAATGAGGGCTGTCAGATGGGGTGGGGTGATGCATCACTGTCATCAATCAGTATGGGAATGACATGGCACCTAAGAAGCGCAAATGTGACTGAAAAGAATGAGTGACATGAGTAAAAATAGAGGATGTGTGATGACAAACCTGACAGCAAGATGGCAAAGGCATATGCCTTCGGGCCAGGAGCATGAGGGGTTCAGTGTTGCTGATCTAAGCCCAAGCTGGGGGCAAAGAGTGAGTATGGGGAATGGAATCATCGAAGATATAAGTTGGTACCTGAAAGCATGGCAGCTGGTAGCTGTTTTGACAAGGAAATCCCAGTGTGTGTGTGTGTACTCTCTCTTATTACCCCACAGCCTCAGGAATCCCAGTGGGTGCAACACTTCACTGCAGTCAGGGTCACAGTTGGCTGTGGCTCCTGCCAGTATAGCTTGACAGCATAGATAGCATAGATTGCATGCTCATGTCCAGAGCAGTTGGGCAGGATGGGGAGAAGGGCTATTGATGTGGTGGAGAGGAGCTGCTTGCTGCCGTGCTTGTTGAGAGAAAAAAAAAAACAAGATTACTCACGTGCTTTTGCAGGATATGCTGGGGCCACACCTGTAATGAATTGGCAACTAGGTCCAGCCTCTATGATTTCGTAATATTATATCGAGCAACTAGGCCTTGCTAGTGGGATATTAGGTGGTACCAAAATGTGTGTGTGTGTGTGTGTGTGTGTTCAATTCATATAATGAGTGGAAGTTGCCATCTAGCCTCTGTTCTGGGAGAACTGGAACTGTTGGGAAGCAGGTGCCTTTGAGAAGTGTAGTTACCTGATGGTGAAGTGTCAATGTGTCCCTTCTCCACAACAGCTCCAATGGCCCATAAGAGGAGCTGAGTCCTCAGGCTCACTGTTGAATAGACTAGTCAGTTAGTGCTGTAGCACTTGCAGCTACACTTGCGCTATAACAAAGGGACCTGAGGTAAGACCAAAAGATACTTATTATTAAGCATAGCTAATGTGTATTTATACTACATCAGGGCTATGCTACAGATCAACTAACACACGGGTGCATCAGGGAGGTGGTGTCAGAATAGTGGGAGGTTGGTCAATGGCACAGCATCAGGTGTGGGATCGCTAGCATGACTTGTATTCCAACACTCACTGTTGGTCAGCACTCCAGGGGAAGTTGATGTGGGCTGGGAGAACCAGGACCGTCGGGCTGTGAGTCCAAGGAGGCACCTTTGAAAGGCAGACGATGCTGGTAGAATGGGACAGTGATGACTTGCTCAATGCCACCTCTGAAGATGTTATAGTCGAGCCAGTGATTGACCCTGGGGTCAGTGTCAATCATTCCTGCAGCACAAAGCGCTGAGGTTGCAATGCCCGACAAGTCATATTAGGTGACCATGTCAGCACCAACGACATTATAAGCACCTCTGTTGATTGGCAGCCAAGGAAGTGTTTGGAAATGGGGGCCATGAGAGTGCTCAGAGACCACAATATGCCAGCAATGTACTTAATATCACCGGACATCAACAGTCAACGATGAGATGTAGACAAGAAACCATCATATGCCAGCAACATAATCAACAGCCCCAAACATTGACAGTCGAAGATGAGGTCAAGATGATCAAAGGAGTTCATGTAATGAGGCAACTTGAAGGAGGGAAGAGGTAGAAAGTTAAGACAGTGGTTTGCGATCCATCGATTGATCAAAGGTCATGTGGTATGAAGATTAAGTCCAGGATCACTTGGGAGCTATGGGAGCTGTTGAGAGCTTGGGAGTATGCAACCAATCTCCAGAGCACTCCTGAGTGCTCTAGAGCCATACCGGTTTTCATGACGAGCCTTGTATTGTTCCGTGGTGGATGGCTAACACCCCTCCTGGTTATATTCTTGTTATTCTTGTTATTCTTGGAGGGAAAGGGCATAACTGCCGTTCCCCGCTTTATTATTATCTTAAGTAAACTTTATCAATAATAACTTCTTGTTAAACCTGCCTGTGTGATATTAATATTGCGAGGGAGGAGAGTGTAAGGGAGATAGGCTGCATACTCACAGCCCTCCCTAATTCATTCTGTATTTATCATGTCGACATGATAGTTTATTGTCTCATTGTACCATGCAGTCCCAAGCCACATTAATCACATGTATTGACAATCTTGTATATAACCTACATGAGAGGGGATAAAGGAAAAAAGAAGCCTTTTACTCCCCCATTGTTAATATAGCTACATACAGCATATATCTGATGGACTGTGAGTGTGAGGCAACACTTGACTATCGCGAGATCACTCACGAACTCAACCTTAACAACCTTACACATTTGTCATTACAAAGTTTAGAATACAGAACAGGTTAAATAGAAAAAGAATGAAGAAAAACAGTAAAGAAAAGGTGAAGAATGACTTGTAGGTGGTCAGCACCATCGCAACAGCAGCAATGCAGCCAAAGTCGATGCCGGGAGCACATGTGACAACAAGCTGGTCTTCAATAGAGTGACACGAAAAAGAGGCCCATGACCCTGAAACTTCTCTGCAAAGGCCCAAAGGGCCTTTGCGAAAACCTAATATTTTCGTATTTTGTCCTATGCCTCTGCACGAGTGTGTGCACTCAAGACCAGTAGATACTATATATATATAGGTGCAAGGGGTCGGGTAAGGTGTTTGTAATACAAAAGGCACTTTATTTGAATCCGGACCTGAGGGTCGCAAATCACCTGCTACTCGTGACCCAATGAATATAAAATGGTATGTGGGGGTTGCCAGTCAACCAACCTTCTTAGACTTAGATAGTGTTCAACCGTCTGAGTAGCTGCACCGATGCTCTGGTGCACTGAGAGAAAAATATAGCCAGAAATAAGTTTTATGCAAGGGCCCGAAGGGCCCAAGAAGCTCTGGGAGCTTGTGACCATTGCACAATGGGCCCCAGTCAAATGTATTGCTGGCATCGACTTCCGTTGCATCATCATCATCGCCAACGTTGTCAACATCACCAAAATCATTCTTCATCTGTTTTGCATGTTTTTTTTTTTTTGTTCGACTTGTATTTTTACTCATTTTCCCTACTGTCAATGCCATGTCTCATTGTTGCCATTGCTGTCAAGGCTTGATAAACTAACGATTACATAGCCTCTAAATCCATATTCTCCAATGCATTCACAATTCTTCCAATGACATGGTGATAATTAGGGTTATCACCATCAACATCTTCATTCTCGTCCTCCCAGTCAACAGCAGCGTTCAATTCCTGTGCTGTGTCTGCCACTGTCTCCTGGGATTCCTCCAGGGCATCATTCTGTGAGTTGGAATTGTTGGTTTGGGGGTTTGGATTGGAAGTAGTCCTTGCTACTCAGTAACACTAAGAGACCATGACACACAAATAGAGATAATTGATTGCACTCACAGTCAGAAATGGAACCACCGGCCAGGTCTGCTCCTTCACTGGCATCACATCTTCCCACATTGCCCATTGCTACAAGGGGCATCCTGGTGCCACCTTGCTTCTCCAGAAGTACTAGCTTGCTACGCAAGTGTAGGTTCATGTTGAGTTGGCTCTCAAAAATAAGTGATATATTTTGATAGCTCAGGGTCGGTGAGCTGAGTGTCCTTGATGACCTGATCCAGGTGAGCTTCCTCCTGGTGTATGGAAGCCCATATCCGATGAGCTTCCAGCCCAATGATCTCAATCTCCTCACGAGGACGTTGAAGTTTGTACCAGGCATGCATTGCATCACGAAAATGATGCTTAAACCACGGTTTCTCCTGCATGTCTTCACGGCCCCATAAAATGACGATGTTGGAGAGGAAGTTGAGGTCAGTAACTTGAGTCCAGGTAAGCGATGGCTTTGGGGGATTCATTGTGGCAACCAGGGTGTTATACTTCTGGAGTGTTGACTGCAGTGACTTGCCTCGCTTGGTGACCAGTGCGGATATCTGCTGCTGGGCCTTGTAGTCTACAGCAAACGTGAGTAGTAGTTGTGTTTTTTTTTGTTTAAGGAAAATGGAATGCAACACTCACCTGTTTTTGGCAAACCAATTTTCTCAAGCTCATCTAAAAGCCGGTGGTAGTCTCGGTGTTGACAAAGAGCTATTGCTTCAAGATGCTGGGAGGAATCGGGGGTCCAGGGGAGAGCGAGCGATGATCTGGCCTCGATGGATTCATTTGCTTGAGCTCAGTGCTGCCCGATTTGACCAAGTGATCCTGGGGGGGCAGAAACTTACCAATAATACACTGTTGCTCTAGAATAGAAAGTTGTATAAGCTTAGCAGTTAACTTAGCAAGTAATACGAAGCACTCGGCACATTCAAGATACTCAACAGCTTCCAAATAATTGATCTTGACTTTCTCATCAGCAGGTTCAGATTGAAGTGATAAGATATCGTCTCATTCCTCAGCTGGTGTCAGAGACCAGGTTGAGACGAGGGGATGTCTCCATGGCAGAGGGCTTCAGCCTCAGCGACTTATGCCAGGAGCTGTGCCAAGTAACATGTCCATGCCCTAACTTACTAAACTGGCAACCAGAACTGAAGGGGGTAAACTCTAGTCGATTTTATTACTGAGGTGTAACCTATGTACAAGTTGAGTATATATATAGTTACAACGAGGCGGGCCCGCAAATGGCGGAGCCGAGCTAACGGGGTTAGACATTAGCCGATTGAATATTACCGACGAGTTGGGTTACAGGGTTAACAGAAAGGTAGGTGATAACCCAGAAACAGAAAGGAGGGATAGGCCCGAAGGTGGGCTTTGCAGGGCAAGCAAGTGTATTGCCCAGCAGAGGTGGGGGTGCACTAGCGGACGTCAGAGCTGTCCAGAAGCCTTCGGGGCTCCATACTTAGGGAGGCGTAGGTAATAAATTGAAAGGAGGGGGTGGTGACCATCGAGGGGTACCGAGGGGATTGCGGAATACGGGAGCTCCGAGGTTAGTGAAGAAGGAGCGGGGGTAGACCGGAGGGATTGGAGGGATCGGAAGTCGATGGCTGGGGATGGATATGACAGTATCCCCTTCTTAGGCCTGAACCCTTGAAGGCCCAGAATTAGTAAGGTGAGGGGAGCTGTACTTACAGAAAAAGAAAAAATGAAAAGATGGAAGTGAGGAGTGGAGAGGTGGGAGAGGAGTCGGGGTTCCTAAGGAGCTTCGGGTCCAGGCTTATCTGGATACCGAGGGTGGAACGCTTCGACGAGGTTGGAGGCGTGATCAAGTTTGCTGGCAAGGAGCCATTGTGTTTCCTCATCGGTCCCTTCATAGCCTAGCCACTTGACCAGGTAGAGCAACTTGTTGCATCTACGTCGGTCGATCTTGGAGTCAAGTATCTCTTTGATCTCAAACTCCATCTTGCCTTCGATTTCTATGGGAGGCGGAGGTGGCTGGTGGCAGTTCGGAATGATGTTTGGGACAGAGGGTTCGATCTGCAAGACATGGAATACCAGGTGAATGGCTCACATGTTTTCCGGCAGGCGGTGGGTGAGGGAGTGAGTTCCAACGCAGGCAATGATCTCGAATGGGCCGAGGTTTTCTCGGAGAGCTTTTGTTAGAGATGGGCGGAAACGGACGACTCCGGAGTGGAATCGGAGACTTAGCGTGGAGGGACCTTGGCCTCAGCGACTCAAGCGGAGCGCTGTGCCATTGCTGTTTGTCCATTTGGTCCTTAATTTCACAGTAGGTGAGCAGGAAGTCTCTTGGGGCATTTCAGGTCGATTTCGGACTGAAAACAGACGAGTATGTACAAGCGCCGATATATAAGGAAGGGGCAAAAGCACAAGGAGAAACAAAGGGTGACCGAATCGGAACGAAGACGTCCGAACGGGAACAAAGGGTTAGAGGGAGCGGAGCGGTACCGAAGGTCATAGGGCAAGACCTGTGATACATCCGAAAGGAGGTAGAGTGGGCGAGGCCCAGAGGGGCAGGAGGATGAGGGGAAGTGGGGGTGATGACTAACTGGCTAGAATAGAAAGAAGCAGTAGTCCAAATAGGGATGAGGGGGAATTGCGAGAAATACATTACAAACGGCGAGAGTGCCGGAGGCGGGGTTGGAAGTCCGAGGAATATTGGCAATGGTGTTCACGTAGTATGAGGTCACCAATGCAATGGACTAAGACCGAGGTGGAGTCAAAGTCCGAGGTATGGACTATGACGGAGGCTCGGAGTAAGGTACGAACGGTGTCCGAGTGTGAAGTACGGAACAGCGGTGGATGGTCGTAACTTGGCGGAAGGGTGGCGGAGGAATGAGAGAGGGGAAGGTAAGGAAGAGTAGTCAGGTCCGAAGGTGGATATCGGAACGGACGGAGATAGCGTAGGGGATGACGGGAGGGTGGAGGTGTGGTGAGGGGGGAGCGGAGTTGTAGGAAGGGTGGCGAGTAGGGAGATGTTCGGTCCGAGATGAGTATCGGAACGGACGGAGAAGGGGTCGGAGAGGTAAGAGGAGGGGTGTGTTGCCGAGACCGAAGGTGAGTATCGGAAAGGCAGCGGTAGGTTATGACTCCGGAGGTGAAGAGGGTGGAGGTCCGGAAGTCGGGTCGGGGTCGGGTATGCACGGATATGACAGCTTTTTGGAAGGTCGGGTGGAGCGGAAATACTTGGCCTTTACATAGACCGAGGTTCCTACTTCAAAAGCTGGGGCAGGACTCCGATGGGAGTCTGCCTGGCCCTGATAACGGACCTGAGCGAGATGCATTTCCTCGCGAAGGAAGTGATGGAGGGAGTCGAGATAGTACTCTTGGGCATGTACTGATGTCAGGTCTCGCTCTGGGTGAACGGTGATGTTCGGATGGTAGCCTTTGTTGGCGAAGAACGGGGAGACGCCTGTGGTGGCATTCAGAGCGTTGTTGTATGCGAACTCCGCAAGAGGCAGGAGTTCGGACCAATTGTCCTGCTGGTAGTTACTGTAGATGCGCAGGTACTGCTCGAGTGTCTGGTTCATCCGTTCGGTCTGACCGTCTCCTTCTGGATGATAACCGGAGGTGAAGTGGAGGCGGATGTCAAGGGCCTTACCAAGTGAACGGAAAAAATGAGAGACAAACTCCGGACCCCTGTCGGAGGTGACGTGGGAAGGAACTCCATGCTTGGAGAACACATGGAGGAGGAAGAGCTTGGCCAGTTCCGGAGAGGTGATGGTATCGTGGGTAGGAATGAAAATGCACTGTTTAGACAGGCAGTCCACAACGACCAAGAATCCGGAAGAGGAGGGTAGCTGTTCGATGAAATCCATGGAGATGGAGTTCCAAGGACGTTCGGGGATGGGGAGTTGTTTGAGCAAGCCATAAGGCTTATGACAGGGAACTTTGGCATGGGCACAAGAAGTGCAGGAGGAGACGTAACTCTTGATGAAGTTACAGATGCCCGGCCAGGTATACTCATGATGTACTAGATCCAGAGTCCGGTTTTGACCAAAGTGCCAGGAAAGTTGGTGGTCGTGTTTGTCTCGCAAAACGCGGAGACGGAGATCGTTGGAATCCGGAACGTAAATGCGGTTGTCCAGCCTTAACAGGCCTTCTGCATCAACAGACCAGCGGGAATTGGGGAGGTTGGGGGAAGCGAGATGGGAGAGGGAGGCTAGAATGTCTCGATGGAGAGCCTCTGTGTCGATGAGTACGGCTGCTCGGATTACTGTGGCAGCTAGGAACATGGCTCGTAAGGATGCAGTGAGCTGCTCCGAAGTGAAGACCGGTCGGAAGTTCTGCAGATTGACGCGAGCGTAGTCCATATCCCCTTCTTTGGGATAGATGTCCCAGCGTCTAGTCAACGCATCTGGTTTTACTCCGAGTCTTCCGGGACGGAATCGGACAGTCATGTGGAACTGGGAGAGGAACTCCGACCAGCGGGCTTGCCGCCAGGTCAAGAGTTTGATGGTGGAAAAATACTCGAGGTTCTTGTGGTCGGTGACGACGTCGATTGGGGTTCCTGAACCTTCAAGGTAATGACGCCATGATCGGAATGCATCATGAATGGCGAGCAGTTCCTTATCATGGGTGTCGTAATTGAGCTCCGGCACTGAAGGAGAGAACGAAGGAAGGTCAGTTGGGAGGTTCAAACGAGACCACCACCAAGCTGTTCCCTGGTTCTTTAGTTAGGATGGGGAAGTGTACTAGTGTTGTTTATTGTAAATATAGTACCAATCCGAGTGTTTTGGCTAATTCTATTTTTATGGGTTAGTTTTAAAGTTCCTGGGAATTGACTTACAGATAAACCGAGCCCTGCGGAGCTGTTTCTTTATTGAAATTTATTAATTTGTCTAGGTGTAATTTTGTGTAGCGTTGTTTAATTTGGATTTAAACTTGAATTTAATCTTCTACTTGGTGAAGTTTCAAAGATTCTATTCAGTTAATGAATTTGGATGGTGTCTGGAGTGTCCCTTGAGTTCGTTTTATTTTTGTCTTTATTTTATTGCTTGTTTTAACAGTAGGAAAATAACTGTTTTGTGTTTACACTTTGAAATCTGGAGTGTTAACCAGCTCTCCTGTTGAAATATCTACTTAATATTTCTCTCCTTAATTGCTGCCTTTTACTACAGTGGCAATCTTAACTGTATATCACTTTTTCGCACTGGAGTGACAACCAGAAATGCTTGAGAAAAATAATACTCTATTTTCTTACTTCTCTGAGGGGGGCGAAAAGTTGCAGAAAGGGTCTCCCTTTTATACTCCTTGGGTCGCCTTCCTTTTTCATGCTCTACCTCCTATTTACAGGATTTATTTACAGTGTATTTTTCTCAAACTGAATAAAAAATGAAATTTTCACGCTATAGTTCTACTGCGCTTTACTGCGCTGAACTGCGGCTCTACTGCGGTCAGACTGCACCTAGAATCCTTATTGTCCTTCCTTGCCTAAGCTATTTTAATGGTTAATTAAAACTTGACTGCGCTGCATTTGTCGCAGTTTCCTATTTCAAATTCCTCATATTTACCACTAAATTTGCTATGACTCGGTGATTCTGAATTCAAACTTCGCATT